CAATTCCTGCAGTGGCGCTGAAAACACGCAATCCAGTTACTCGGCTCAATAGGAAGATGTTCAGCCTCGGATCTTCCTGACTTCATGTTACTGTGTCTTGCTTTAATCCCTGATTAAACACCTTTGTCCTATATTCTGTGAAATGTATCAGCAATTTACATTAATTTACATCAGTTCCGAATTCTGAAGGCTTGCAGCCTCGCAGGTATTGGATGAAATTCCCACAATGGGTCTCAGGATATAGAAGACATTGTCAGCCTCTTTAGAGGAGCCATTGAACTTACTGTTAATTTTGCTATTAAAACTCTATGAAATAGCTTGGGATACATTCTACATTAATGTACTGTGTAAATGTGAGATTTTGTTTTCTGTCGCCGTCAAAGTAGAATTATGTAAATTGCCATTTCCTGACAATAGTTTCAATACCTGTACTTAAGAGTCATGATTATTAAAGCCATAAGAATATGTCGCAATGATGATCACCTTGTTCACAACTACACCAATGACATCTCCAAGCCATTCATTGAAAACAAAAAAATATATACTTCATAATAACATTAACAACTAGAAAAAAGATGCAAGATTGTGGAACTGGAGGGTGATGATTAAACAAATAAATAAAGGAGATCTGCATTAAAATAGTTTGTCTATAATGTAGGAAACTGGGATTAAACTATGATAACAAGGTGTAGAGCTGGATGAACACAGCAGGCCAAGCAGCATCAGAGGAGCAGGAAGGCTGACTTTTCGGGCCTAGACCCTTCTTCAGAAATGGCCTGCTTGGCATACTGTGTTCATCCAGCTCTACACCTTGTTATCTCAGATTCTCCAGCATCTGCCATTCCTACTATCTCTGGGATTAAACTATAGCTGTCTGACATAACAGTATTCACAACCACAAGATGTCCCAAACATTCCATAACCAAAATTTCTGAAGAGTAGTCATCATGGCAACATAGGAAACATGGCTACCAATTGCTGCATAACAAGCTCCAACATGTAGCTGTAAGTTACTTTGGAAGAAAATGAAAGTAAATGTTTTGCTCTTATGTAATGCTTTTCATAACCACTGGATGTCCTGAAGTGCTTCTCAGCCAATTAAGTACTTTTGAAATGTAATCTTTGCTGTAGGAAACGTTGTAGGCAATTTGCACATGGGAATTTCCGACAAACAGCAATGTGATCATGACCAGGAATCTTTCTTGTGTCGTTGAGTGAAGTCTAAACATTGGTGAGGACACTTGGGATGACTCATCTGTTCTTCCAATAACACTAGAGGATCTTTTACATCCACTGAACAGACAATTAGTTTTACATCTACAGTAGGCAACCACTTAATTAAAAACTGTGACACCTAGTTCTAGATTCTCGACAAGTGGAAACATCCTTTCCTCATCCACCCTGTTACCCTTTGGGATCTTATACATTTCAATCAAGTCACCCTTTAATCTTTTAAATCCCAGCAGATACAATCCTAGTCTGTCTAACCTTTCCTCATAAGACAACTGCCCATTCCTCATATTGTTTGAGTAAATCATCTCTGAACTGCTTCCAATATATTTATATCCTCACTTAAATAAAGAGACCAATATTGAACACCATACTCCTGATATATTCTTACCAATGCTTAATCTCCCTACTTTTGTATTCGATTCCCCTCATGATCAATGATAACATTCTCTTCACCTTCCTAATTACGTGTTGTACCTGCATGCCAACCTTTTGCAACTTATGCACTAGGACACACAGATTCCTCTGAATCTGAGTTCTGTAATCTCTCACTATTGAGATAATTAGCTTACTTTTTACTCTTCCTTCCAAAATGGATAAATTCCCATTGTCCCACATTATACGCAACTTGCCGGATCTTTGCTACACACTTATCCTATCTGTCTTCCTTTGTAGCATTCTTATGTCTTCTTTACGCCACTCATTACATTCTGCTGATCACTTATCCCAATTTTCTGCTTCCTGTTATCCAGCCAATCTTCTATCATTGCCATTATCTAACCTCCTACACGGTGAGCTTTTACTTTCTGCTATAACCTTTGTGGCACCTTTTCAAATGCTGGCTGGCAATCTAAGTATGGTCCATCCATCAGTTTCCCTTTATCCACATATTTCATTCCTCAAAAAACTCCAATAAAATGGTTACACATGATTTGCCTTTCACGTTTCCTTGTCAAAACTCTTGACTCTCCCTGAATACCTTGAACATTTTTCATTGGTGTGCTATCAAGTCACAGAGTCATAGAGTCATACAGCATGGAAACCGACCCCCCCAGCCCAACCAGTCCATGCCGAACATAATCCCAAACTAAACTAATCCCATCTGCCTGCTGCTGGTCCACATCCCTCCAAACCTTTCGTATTCATGTACTTCTCTAAATGTCTTTTAAATGTTGTAATTGTACCCACATTCACCACTTCCTAAGGAAGTCCATTCCACACGCAAACACTCTCTGTGTAAAATAAATTGCCCCTCATGTCTCATTTAAATCTTTCTCCTCTCACCTTAAAAATGTGCCCCCTCGTCTTGAAATTACCCATCCTATGGAAAAGACAACTACCATTAACTGTATCTATACCCCTCATTATTTTATAAACTTCTATAAGGTCACCTCTCAACCTCCTATGCTCCAGTGAAAAATGTCCCAGGCTATCCAGCCTTTCTTTATAGCTCGAACCTTCCATACCTGGCAATGTCCTATTAAATCTCTTCTGAACCCTCTCCAGCTTAATAATATTCTTCCTATAACTGGGCAATGAGAACTAGACACAGTATTCTAGAAGCGGCCTCACCAATGTCCTGTACAACCTCAACATGACCTCCCAACTCCTATACTCAAAAGACTGAACAACAAAGTCATGTGTGCTAAATGCCTTTTTAACCAGCCTGTCTATATGTAACATAAACCTCAAAGAATTATATACCAGAACCCCTGGGTCCCTCTGTTCTACAACACTACCCAAGGCCCTACCATTAATTGTATAAGTCCTATCCTCATTTGTTGTACCAAAATGCAATATCTTTGATAATAATTTCTAACAACTTCCCTATCATAAATGTTATGCTAATTGGCCCGTAGTTTCCTCTCTCCCATTCTACTCAAGTCCCATTTTTTATCACCCGTTCACCTATCAGCCTTGTGCTTGTTGACCTGCAGTGACTCCTGGTTATGTAATGACTCAACTCTACTTAATACCCTTGTTTTTAAATCCATACATGTCCTTGACTCTCCCCATCTCATATCCTCAAGTCCTCCAAACATGACATATATGTGCTCCTCTAATTTTGGCCTCTGCATCCCTGATTGTAATTGTTCCAGCTTTCAGCTGCTTCACAGAGCCTAAGATTTAAGAGATCCCCCTGTAAACTCCTTTGTTTCTCTATCTGCATTAGGGACCTACCTCTTTGATTGGACTTTTTTGTCATCTTTCTAAGTTGTGGCTCAGCGTCATAAAGCATTTTATAATAATGTGCTGAACTGATTGCTTTCAGCAGGGTACATTTTCTCGATGCTGTAATGCTTATGTTAATCTTCATAAGAAACTAAGACATGGATAATGTAGTATTGAAAGATCCAACAGACGTGTATTACAGCTCAATAACATGTACAGATATTACAGTCACAGGCACATTTGTATCTGGGCTGATATTAAGGTATCCAGTTACAACGAGTACAGGCAATCCATTCGGGAGTCTAGAATCGATTTGTACGCAAGTCAGAACACAATACAGGACAATATAAAGGAACCGTTTGTAAGTGCAGGGAAATGTTTATATGTTGTGTCTTTAAAATTACACCCTTGCATTAGATTGTGTTTGTAAATTCAAGCGTTTGTAAATACAAGTGTTCATAAAGTGGGGACCCCTATACAATGTTCCATTAGCATGTCATGCTTCAAGAGACCCAAGTCAAGATGAAGTCTGAGACTTTTATACCCTCAGATCACACACAATAGTACAATGCTGATATCACGCAGCGGTATTGGTGGCAGCAAAGGCAATTGGTGGAGCATGTCCCAGGAGGAGACTGACTGAAACTCCATGCAAGGTCTAGGCCCAGGGAAATAAGACATTAAAATCTGGACCTTTTCCCTTTGTTTTGGGTAAGGACTTTAAGATCTGGTCATTTTTCATTTTCTTTTAGTTCTGTTTCATTTATTTTTACTCTTTTTTTAAAAATTCTGGTTGTGTATTTTTAAGCTGGTGGCATAGAATGGTGACGTTGCACACTTTTCACTGCACTGTTGTAATTGAGTAGACACAACAATAAAATCTAAATTTGAACATGTTTCTTAAAGGTATAATGATTGTGAGACATAATGCAATGAACCTTGGCATGTTTGGTAATGTGAAATGTGCTGTAGAAGTACGAAGAGATAGTAGGAACTGCCGATGTTGGAGAATCTGAGATAACAAGGTGTAGAGCTGGATGAACACAGCAGGCCAAGCAGCATCAGAGGGGCAGGAAGGCTGATGTTTCTGAAGAAGGGTCCAGACCTGAAACGTCAGCTTTCCTGCTCCTCTGATGCTGCCTGACCTGCTGTGTTCATCCAGCTCTACACCTTGTTATCATTTTTGTGAAATCAGGTCTGTACTTTTTAATGTCACTTTCCTCATTCAGGCATCAGCTAACGACACACTGGATTATCCATGATCAACATTTTGGAAGGAAGGCTATAAAATAAGTAAATGGTGAGAGATTACAGAACTCTGAGATTCCGAGGGATCTGTGCATCCTAGTACATGAATTGCAAAAAGTTTGGTATGCAGGTACAGCACGTAATTTACAATGGGAGATTTTAAAATCTCTTTTAACTTTTGAAATGAAGCTTTCAAGTTTCCTGGAGCTATGAAGAACTGTAGGAGCTGCTGAGAAGAGCGCCTCCCCTCTCCTCCCTGGCCAATGGTGGTATTGCCGGGCAGGACGTTGCAGGCCGGAACCTGGGGCCGGGGTTTTGCGGGACAGGGGTCCGAGGTCTGGACGGCACGGAAATGTTCCGGGCGGATCACTTCCTGTTTACCTGGCAAACCGGAAACTGTGCTCATCGTGAGGAACCGGAGACTTGTTGCTTGTGAACGAGGATAATTTATACATTTTGAGAAAGCACGATGCAGTACACAGTGAACATCAAACTCTCCGCCAGGACTTTAACAGGAACATTGAGTGGCCAGAACAGAGGGGCAGTGGATTGGTGAGTAAGGCGGGGGGAGGTGGTTAGAAACTGCCTTCTGGGGCCTGATACTATCACTGAGTGGTTTTCCTGTAAACACACTGATCAGGCCTGTACGGACATAGGTGTAAACACAAAACTGACTAATCTTCCACAACATTCAGTGCTGGACAGAATGAGTTTTGTTAATGCACACTGACTGATCCCCTTCACAACGGTTGGCTTTACAAACTGAGTTATTAACACAAACTCACTGACCTTTCACCAAGGGCTGGTCAGACTGAGCCGTGTTGGTGTAAACTGACTGATATTCTCTATATTAACCAGGGTTGTACAGACTGAACTGTGTGAGCACAAATTTACTGACACCCTGCTACACTCTGGGCTGTACAGACTGAGCTGTGTTGTACAAACTGACCGACCTTCCACAACACTTAGGGCTGTATAGAACGAGCTGTGGTAGCAAGAATTTGCTGATGCCTCCACAACAGTCAGGGCTGGGCAGACTGAGTTGTAGAACTACATAGGCTGACTGACACTTTACACAATACTCAGCAGTACAGATTGAGTCTGTGTTCGTGCTTATCAGAGTGACCCTATGCACAGTACCTAAGGCTATAGTACCTTTCCAGCATGATTTGCTATGTTAGTGCAAATTGACGTAACCTACCCTCACTGAGCTTCTTTGTCATAGTAGGTTTGTTACTCATCAAATTAACAGCTAATTCTAGCTGGGACTGTTATTTAAGAATGCCTAATTTCATGTCATAAAGTAAGTGATCATTGTGTTAACTTTTGCGAATAGAATATTACACTTAAAGCTTAAAATTCAATTTGGCTGTTTTAAACCAAAAGTCAACAGTGATTTTTCATTAATTAATTCAAATCAGTTATGGGATAATGTGAGAATGAGGTTGTTGACTTGCTCACCCAGCTGGCTTGTTTTCATTCAGATGTTCATCACCATGCTATGTAACATCATCAGTGGAGTTTCCAATGAAGCGATGTTGTTCTACTCTGCTTGGAATTTATGCTGTCCGGTCTGTTATGGTGAGTCGTGTCATTTCGTGTTTTGTTCTGTGTGGGACAAAACATATAGAACAAAAACGGGAGATAAACAACTCACCATAACAGACCGGACAGCATAAATTCCAAGCAGAGTAGAACAACATCACTTCATCGGATGCTACCTAGTATGGTGACGAAATGTCTAAATGAAAACAGCGAGCAAGTCAACAACCTCATCCACAACTGGAGCTGCAAATCTTTGCTAAAACCATAATGGAAGAATATTGGGAGTTAAAATATTTATGTTCGAAAAATATTTTCTTGCTTTTCATGTCTGCTGGACATCTCAAAGCATCACAACTAATTAAGTACTTTTGAAGTGCAGTTACTGTTGTAATGTAGGACATGTGGCAGCCAAATCATGCGCAACAAAAACAACAAACAGGTTGAAGAATCTCCAGAAACATCCCTGTCCTCAATGATGGGGAGCCTGGTACATCATGCAGAAGATAAGGCTGAATCGTTTGCAGTCACCTTTAGCTAGAAGTACTGGGTGGATGATCCATTTCGTAATGAGGTGACTAGTGTCACAAATACTAGTTTTGAGCCAATTTGATGCATTCTGCCTGCTATCAAAAAGTGGCTAAAGGTACTAGATACTGAAATGGTTATGACGCCTGTCAGTATTCCAGCAATGCTGCTGAATTAGCCACACTCTATCTAAGCTATTCATTGCAGCTACAACTTTGCCATCTACCTGCCCATGTGGACAAAGCCAACCTGGCAAATTACTAACCCATCAGTCTACTTTTAACTGTCATCAAAGTGATTGAAGCAGCGCTTGTCAGCAATAAGCTGCTCACCGAAACTCAGTTTGCATTCCACCAGGTCTCATTACAGCCTTGGTCTAAACATGGACAAAAGAGCTGAATTCCAGAGGTGAGGTGAGAGTGACTGTCTTTGATGTTAAGGTGGTGTTTGACAAAGTGTGGATTTTGAGGATCCCTAACAAAACTGAAGTCAGTGGGAATCAGGGGAAACTTTCTGGTACCAGCTATTCCTCGTGTCAAGGAAGATGGTTATGTCTACTGGAGGTCACTCAACTCTGTTCCAGGAGATCACTGCAGGGATTCCTCAAGCACTATATTGTATCCATCATAAACTCATAAATGGGCATGTTGCTGACAATTGCACAGTGTACATCACCATTCATGATCACTCAGAAATTGAAGCAGCATGTGTCCATGTGCAGCAAGAACTGAACAACATCCAATCTCTTTGATTGTGAGACAAGATGTATGACATAAATATTACTTTCCACTTAAGGGTCAGGCAGTGGTCACCTGCAACAAGAGCCAATCCGACCATTTTCCCTGACATTCAACTGTAATACTGTCACTGAGTTCCCCCACTATCCATATCCTGAGGACTATCATTGACAAGAAACTGAACTGGACAATTCTATAAATCCGTGGCTACAAAAGCAGGTTACAGGCAAGGGATCCTGGAACAACTTCTTTTTCCATCAAGCGTGTTTACTGTCTTAAAAGGCACAAATCAGGAATGTGATGGAATACTCCTTACCCATTTGCCTGGCTATGTGCAGCTCCAACATACTTCAGAAACTCATTTTTGACAAAACAGCCTGATTGTTTGGTGACTTATTTACTACCTTCAACATTCAATCTCCAGCACCAACCACAGTGGCAGAGGTGAGCACCATTTACAGGATTCACTGCAACAACTCGTCAAGGCTTATTCAGCAGAAGATTCCAAATCTACAACCTCTGTCACCTGGAAGGACATAACCACCTCAAGTTCCAGGTCACATACCATTCCGACTCGGAACTATAGTGCTGTTCCTTCAGTGTTTCTAGTTCAAAATCCTGGATCTCCCTTCCTAACAACACCGTACATGTACCTATGAACTGCAGCTTCAAGAAGGCAGCTCACCACAACAATTAGGGGCACACAATAAATGCTGGCTCAGCCAGTGGTGCTCACAGCCTGTGAACAAATTAAAAAAAGCTTCCACAAACAGCAAAGTGATGAAGATCAATCAGTGATGTCCATACTGAATTGTGAAAAAAAAGCTGTCTTTTTGTAATGTTGATTAAGTGATAAATATTGGCCATGCTGGTAGGGCTATCACCCCTGCTCCCCTTTGAGCTATTGCCTTGGAGTCTTTTGTATCCACCTGAGTAGGCATCCCATCTGGAAAATGTAGCATTCCCTCAATACCACACTGGAGTATCGGCTTGACTTTTGTGCTGTAGCCCTGAAATGGGACTTGAACCTGCATCCTTCTGACTCTGAAGTGAGAATAATAGCAACTGAATTGTGACTGATACTTAAAGGCAACTTTTGGCCCTTTCTGTAAAGAATTTCACGCAACCTTTTAAGAAGATTCTAATGTTAGGGTATACTTAAGATAAGGAAATACATGTTTATGTGCAGTCTTAAAACATTATTCTGGTCAGAGGTACAAAAATCTGACTAGCTGTTTTGTTAAACCTGCATACATAATTCAGCTGTCAAAATATATTAGATTTACAAATTATACTTGCGAAAATACATCTGTTTCAGAATATTTTAAGTCAGCAGCCTGGAGAAATTTACTGTGTTCTTAATGTCAGTTGCATATCTTTTCATTGTGTTCAATCTGCCAACTAAATCCATCAAATTCTTTATTATACCCAGCTATTATGAATTATAATTTTGATCTGCCGATAGCACATGACCAGTGAGAAATGATGATGGAATGATAGACTTTCTGCAGAGATTGGTTGATACTGAGAAAAATATAATTTTGAGATTAGATGTCAGTCAGTTCAGCTTGGATTCCAAAGCCTTGGACAGAGCGTGGAAGAAATTTAGAAGAATAGTAATAGGGATGAGAGGCATCAGTTATGTGGGAGAGCTGAAGCTGTCCTTCTTAAAACTGCGGCTTGAGGAAATCGGATAGAAATTCAAAAGCATAAATAATTTGATAGAAAAATAAGGCAAAACTGCGTCTGATGTTTTGTGGATCAGAGAGAACACTGATTCAAATGAGTTTTTTTTGCCAATTTCAGAATATTTGTTTGTCATGGTGAAAGTTCTGTGATCTCAAATGTATTGTTTAAAAGAATCTGGAAACAGATTCAATAATAACTTGCAAAGGAAATTGAATGAATACTTGTAGGAAAAGTATAGCACCTCCTGGTGATTGTTATCTACCACATTTCCATTGTTGATAGATTCGTACTCCGTGTTGAACATCACTTGTAGAAACTATTGAGGATACTAAAGGCAGAGAGTGTATTCTGGATGGGTGCCTGTCATAAAATAGTAGAAGCACATTAGCAGCATCACAGAATCATACAGCATGGGAACAGGCCCTCTGGTCCGACTCGTCTGTGCCAACCAGAAATCCCAATGTGACCTAGACCCATATGCCAGCATTTGGTCCATATTCCCCTGAACCCTTCTTATTCATATACCCATCAAGATACTTTTAAATGTTGTAATTGTACCAGCCGCCAACACTTCCTCAGACGGCTTGTTCCGTACACACACCACTCTCTGCGTGCAAAAGTTACCCCTCGGGTCCTTTTTAAATCTTTTCCCTCTCACCTTAAACCTATACCCTCTAGTTTTGGACTACTCCACCCTGGGAAAAAGACCTTGGCTTTTCACCCTATCCATGCCCCTCATGATTTTATAAACCTTTATAAAATCAGCCCTCAGTCTCTGATGCTCTAAGCAAAAAAAAGCCCCAACCTATTCACCCTCTCCCTATAACAACCTATTCACCCTCTCCCTATAACTCAAACCTTCCAGTCCCAGCAACATCTTTGTAAACCTGTTCTGCAGTTGTTTGAAACTTTGCTTTACTGGGTGATTTAAGATTTTTTTCTAACTGTTCTACATCTAGATAATGTGATCTTTTGTTTTGTCTTTTGTGTAAAACAAATCTTTTGTTCTGTTGCTAAGGAAACTTTGCAACCTGTGTGACTGGTTCAGTGAATGAC